CAGCACGCGACTGTTCTTGTTGGGAAGACCGAATCCCAAGATCCAACTGCTGTCATATAGTGGGTAAGGAGAACCATGTCTCAGCCAGGGGCTGCTTTAACATGGAAATTCATTTAAGGGAACATTAAGGCAACCCCAAAATGCAAGACCACGAAGGACCCAGATGGCTCAGGAACAGTACACTGAGTCACCCTCCAGGTAAAGAGCCTCGAGTAGGCAAGGTGCTGGCTGAAGATAGGGAGATCATAGGATGGGCCGCAGAAAAAGTTTTTTAAAATCTCCACTCAACTCAGGAGCAGCTACGAATCAAGGGCCATCCAGTGCTCATCACATCACGTGATGTTATACATAACTAAGGAAACGCGGAACACGACATCAAAAACTAATTGAATTTAAATAAATTAAATAAATTGAATTTAAATAAATAATAGTAATAAAAGAGTCCAAGGACCAGCTGGGAAGGTTGGTGGTGCTACTGTAACTTTCCAAGAGGACCCGGTTTACCCTGGAGTAGATTTCTTATGGAGTGTTTTTGGAAAATGCTCTTCAAAGGAACTCAGGGCAAAATATTAAAGCAAAGTCAAGAAATGAGTGGCAAACTGAGAGACTAAATGTTACAGAGAAAGGGAAAATCTTCTTAATCTAGAGACAACTAAAGATAAGGAAAAAAAGACCAAAAAATCGGGTAGAAAAATGATAAAAGACCTGTCGAGTTCATAAAAAACATTAGACAAAAAGCTTTTAAATCTTTGAAGACATCGAACTTCACCAATAAGGAAATTAAAAGTACACTGAGATATGCATCAGCTTGGCAAAAAATTCAAAAGCGGAAAAACCCACCTTGGTGGCAAGACTGAGGGGAAGCAGGCATTGTTACGTAACCCCTCCCAAGGTAAATCTGACAGTACCTAATAAAATGGCATATGCGTTTACCCTTGGATCAGTAATTCCACTTCTGGGAAATTACCCTAACGAGTCATCTCCACCAACACACAAAAAAACCCCCATATGCACAAGGTTATTCATTGCGGTGTTATTTGTAATTGGAAAATTTATGTTAATATATACTATGTATTTATATTGATTTTTACATACCAACATAAAGCAGTAAGAGGGGAAAACCTTAAAGTTGGATAGAAAAAATCTAATTGGGTATCAAACTGATGACATAACCACAATGAAAAGAATAATTAAAGTTTTAAACTTTTAAACATAGTGTTGTGACAATACATTTTTGCTAAGGACATAAAATCTTAGAAAAAATAATTAAAAGATTTTACTCCATCAGTTTACTGTTGGTAGTGGTTGTGGTTTAATAATTTCCAACCTATTTTGTGTTTATGAGAGAGGTACCAATATGAAGGAGGGAAATGAGGAACCACCCCAGGTGTTGGATTTTAACTGACAGGTTCAGTGTGAATTCATGATTTTTTTTAAAGATTTTTCATTTATTTATTTAATAGAAAGATATCACAAGTAGGCAGAGAGGCAGGCAGAGAGAGGAGGAAGCAGGCTCAAATGCGGGCCTCGATCCCAGGACCCTGGGATCATGACCTGAGCCAAAGGCAGAGGCTTTAACCCACTGAGCTACCCACGTGCCCCAAACTCATGATTTTTTAAAAGGTCTAGAAAAAAGCATCACTGCGTAGCAACAAGCAAACACAGTGTGGGGATCAGGGTTTCTGGATACCATTCCTCACCAAACAAGACCAGGGCTCTGTAAAGAATGGCTAGTTCCCAATCTAGAGTGGGAAAGTATAATGTGAGCCCTAAACATTTCGCTGTACCTCAGAGTAAAAAAGTATTTCCAAAATGATAGGAACACACAAGACATTTAACCTGAAGAAAATCCCAATAGCCAAAGCTGATAGGATTTGAGTGTTGCATAGAAGAATTATGGTTACGGACTCAACTGTATTTCAGTTAGAGAGAAGGAAAGAAACAGGAGGATGGAGGCCCAGGTGAAGTCTTTGAGGACTGATAAGATCGAGAGAGAAATGGAGAAGAAAAGGGATTAGGTCAGTATGAACAAACAAGGACCTGTCCAAGAAGAGGACACAATTCAGGAGACTGAAGTCGGGTGGGGGGCACGTACCGGTCCAGCTAGAGGGGCAGGTGCATGGGGGGACCAAGAAGTCTAAGATTCAGTGGTTTGGGACCACGGAGGCCAGTCTGAAGACTGAACTTTGAGTCTAGTGGCAATTGGGAACCACGGCCAGCTTTAGAGCGGAGGGGCTCTAAGAGTTGAGGAAGTGGGCATTTCTGGAAGGTGCCTCTGGCAGCTCTGATGGAGGACAGAGAAAGGAGGGGTGAGACGGATAAGGAGGTCTTTTCAGGGGTAGGGGACGAGGTGCTGGGGCCTGTGAAGAGCCCGGGAAGAGATCAGGAATGAAAATGGCCTTCGGAGGATGGATGGACAGAACTTACTTTGTCAGAGGCGAGAGCCAGTGCCTCAGTTTCTGTGCTGAAGACCCGGTGGGGGTGAAGGTGGTGCGGGGCTGAGTGTGCCGGCAGAGAACCGGTCTCTGATGTTCAGAATCGGCCTGGACCAGATGGACTGCGAGACCACAGCATTCTGACGCATCCAAACCTTGAAAGGTTAAGGGACCGTCCCACACTGGGAGTGGGGGGTTGGGGAAAGGGGGGTGTTGCTGGCCCTTCTCCACCAGGCCGATCTCTTACAGACATTATGTAAAAGGAGGGCTCCGGTGCGTTCCTGAAGCTTCTGCTGAGGACTGCTCCTGAGGGGATTTTATGATGCTCCAAAGGTAATGCCCAGAACCTTCTCCCTGGGGCATCCCTGTGGGCTCCTCGGACTGAGTGCACCGTCATTTCCTGATGGGGCCAGAGGAGAATTCTCAAGACCCAACTCCGGAGTGGGCCCCCACGAAGGCCTTTCTCTGTCATCCCTGCAGTGAAGCTGCAAAGCCGGGGGGGCCCTCTGTGCTCCGTGGCGCTGTGGCTTCATGTCACGCTGGCTGCCCTCTCTGCTGCCCAGCATCCTGGCCTGGCTGGACGGAGCCGGCCTTCCTCCCTGCACACTTGGCATCCACACCGCCAGCCTATAAATTATGCCCGGTGTGTTCATTTTCAGTTTAAATGTGTTCTCATCCCAGAGGAGCAACTAATGGCGTCAAGTTACTGATGTGCAAAAAGCCCGCTGCTAGGAGGACGATGGATTAATGAAATCGTGGTCATGGCGGCCGGGGCGGCCATAAATCCTCAGCCACGGTGACAGAGACTTAACACTTCGCTCCCCGTCCCCTTCCCCCAAATTATTTTGTGGTAAAGATGCGGGGTAAACGGTTACCACTGCTTGAATGTCTGCTTCTATTAGAAGCCGACACAAGCCGAGCCCCTCCTTCCTGAGGGAACCTTCTCTCAGATGGCGGGAAGGGGCCCCAGAGGGGTTTAAAAGCCTGTCCCACTTTCTCTAGGAGGCGGACGGCAAATCGCTTTATCGAGGACCATCACCGACTGATAAATTTCACTCTGAAAACCAGCAAACACAGGGTTCCAGCAGTGAACCCTGCTCCTCTGGCCTGTGAGGGACCACCCACGCCTTCTGTTACGGCTTTTCTCTTCCCCTGATGAATTTAAAATGACGAACCGGTGTAATTCCTGTAAGTGATTCTGAAAGGTGACAAGCCTACTTCTCAGTAGGCAAAGGACTCCAGGGAGCCCACTGATGGGCCATGGGGAATTCAAGGGTCCCTGATCCTAAGAGCAAATTGTTTGGGTGGATATGGTTTTCCAGAAAGAAGGTCTATGAATGTCATCTGATTCACTGAATGTTCTGGAACACCAACACAGGACTGCTCTGTGGATTGCCTCGATGGTCACACTATCTTCCTCTCCACAGTCTCATGCCCTTGCAATAGGATGGCTGCGAGGAGGCTCTATCCAACCCCAGTTCTGGGCTGGCCTTGGGCTTGGTTTTGGCCCGTGGGATATGGGCAAAGTCAATGCCAGCAGACACAGGAAGTACTTGCCTACTGAGGCTTGCCTGCTTCCTCTTTCTGGAACCCTGCTGCCACATGAATGAGGCTGGGCAACCCAGTGAGCTTCATGACCCCATCACCCTCTTTTCCCCGGCTGACCCACTGGCAACTGCAGGCCATGGGCCACGCCTAGGCCAGCAGAAGCGGCCGACGCAGAGCCTGCGGAATGCACCCGGGAGCCGGATACTTTGCCCATCTCCACGATCGAAGCGATCGCCAGGCGTTCAGCATGTCGACTCTGGCTTCTAGCAGTCAGACTTAGCTGCCAAGTGAGGCTGGTCCCTTCCAGCTGGAACAGGCGTCTGTGTGTCACTCTGACAGTGGCCCGTGCCCGGCGTGGCCTTGGGGCTCCTTCTGTGAGGGCGGGGCAGATCCCGGGGACTGGGGAACAGGACGCCACACCTAGTAAGTACCTCCTTTCCTTGCTTGTAAAATAAGGCGGGGGTGACTGGAGCCTCCCTCATTACCTAAGTATTGCCCGAGCCCATCTACGTAGGAGGGACGAAACTGCTCACAGGGTCATGGAGCCATAGAAGAAATCACCCCCTTTACTCCCCCTAGAGGAAAAGTTTCCCCAAATTTGAATAGCACAGAAAGATAGAAAAGCAGGTAGAGAGGAAAAAGAGACAAAAACATCTGTTTTGAGCTGGGATATAGGATAATGGAGCTTTGGGGTGCGCACATCACATGGTCAAGCCGCAGATATAAGGAATAATGGAAAAGACTCCAAGAAAAGAAAAAGCATGACATGTACAAAATGGTACAAAATGCACAGAAGAGTTACACAAAGAGCCATGGGACACTTGAGACTTTTTTTTCCTTTTCCATTAAGACGTCAGTGCTTTTCTAGTAACACCTAAAATGACTTCTTTCTAGGATTTGGGACACCATTTTTTGTAATAGAGATGTATGGAGTAAACAAGGGATATGCATGTCACTTACTACATTAAGTAAAGAAAACATCCGAAACTCTGCTTTCTTGACAAAACAGACAATAAGCTTTTGCTTGAGAAAACACTGATTTTTAATCCAATTATCCCCACAGATATCCAAAGAGAAAGTTACAACTTGTACTACCATGCTTTTACTAGAACTCTCTATCCTTCCCCTGGAGAATGTTGAGCTCTTCAACACTGAAGTCACCAGTGAGGAGGCAAACGGTTACCAGATGGCATTTTCAACCACATTTTTAATATTTATTGTAATTGTGCTTCTCTATAGCTAACGCTTCTTGTGATTTGCACAATGTATGTCTGCCTTTGTTTACCCACATGAACAGAGAACTGCACTGCCAGGAGGGAGGCTCACACAGCAGCGTCGGGTGTGTGAGCACTGTGAGGCATCCGGTAAGGGTAGAAGCCGCCCTTCCCTCTGCCCGAGCCCTTAGGATGCTCTTATGTTGGCGTCACATTCTTCTAAAAGCAGGATCAAATCTTCAATCAGGCTGTGCTCTCTGCCATGGGTCACTCTCATAATATCAAAAGCCTAAAGGGGAAAGAAAGAAGATAGATTATGTTAGAGGAGGCAGTGAGTTAGGTTTTAATAGGATGCCTGGAGGCCTGCCAAGGGGAGTCAGGGGCGGCTATGGGGGAAGGGTGGTGGCTGGAGACCCCTCTTGGCAACAGTCCAAAATGGAGCCACAAGAAGCTAGCTCAAACCAGACAGGCCCAAGACAAAGAAGGCTGGAAATCCTGACCAAGTAAGGGAGGAAAGTCAAGAAAGGCTGCTCCCAAGAAATCCTCTCCTCAAGGTAAGAACTGTCAGTAAGATAGAGACCCAGACCCCAGGGCAAGCAGCTCTCCCTGGAGCTCGCCCGCTGGAGCCTCAGGAGTCTACACTCACTTTCATAAACTTACCTACTTGCAGGGCTCAACCGCTGGGTCTGGTCTGTCCTTGAATTCTTTCTTGAAAAGAGACCAAGAGCTTTTGGCCACACCCTGGGGATGGGCTGGGTGGAGGCCTCCGGTTCCGGGCGGTGGGGGGCTCCCCAGTCCACCTGGCAACATCCTGATGGGCCTCTTGTCCACTCATCTTGATCCCGTGATCCTAGTGGGGTGAACCATGCAGTCCACAGCGAGAGCAGCACTGTGGTTCCCCAAGCCACTCAGTAAGGGACAGGGCGAATTTTTCACGGGGTGTTTGGAGAGCGCACTCAAGACCTGAGTCCCACTGGGGTGTGGTTTCCAACAAGGATCTTCAGGGGCTGTCGGTGAAGAGGTTTGGTGGGGACTTAGGTTTGAGAAGAGCTACTAAAAACGATTAATATCAAAGATGAAACACCACATTGGCACCACTTCAAGATCTCGTTTTTGTGTGAAGCATTTAGCGCTCCTCTTCCTGTGCTGGGATGGCGAGCTGCGCATTTCTGTGTCTTCTTCTCATGTCCCAGGACATGAAGCACGAGCATTCGGACAACTGCTTCCTTCACTCGCCACGTTCCGTCGTCCATCACGGAGTCCTCTCAGTCCTGCCTCCTTAACATTCCTGAAATCTGGGTGGGCCTTCGACCACTTCAATAACGAGAGGACAGTATAAGGAACGCGACTGACTTTCAAGTTGAGGCTAAGAAGGCCTTGCTCACGATCATGTTTGCTCTTGGAGCCGTGAGTTTCCGTGCTGAGAAGCCCCAGACCGCGGAGAGGCCAGTCGCAGGGCTCTGGCCAACAGTCCTCACGGAGTTCTTCTTCCCTGTCATCCCGGCCTACACACCATATATATGCATAAAGAAGCGTCCGGGGGCCCCTGGCCGGCTCAGTCAGAAGAGCACGCGATCCTTGGTCTCAGGGTCGTGAGTGTGAGCCCCATGCTGGGTGCAGAAATGACTTAAAAACAACAACAACAACAAAACACACACACACACACACACACACACACACACACACACACAAAACAAGGCGTCCGGAATGACTCCAGCCGCTAGCAGGAAGGGAGCCAGATTCCAGTCTTTCCAGCTGAAACCCAAGACATTGTGGGAAAGAGGCAAGCGATTCCTATGGTGATGTTGGAATTCCTGGCCCAAAGGACCCGTGGGACTCATAAAGCAGCAGTTGTTCTACTCTGGTAAATTTTGGGATGGCTTGTTACAGGGCGATGGTATTTTTGCAGTCAGTAAATTAGAAACAAACAGTATTACCCGCACTGCCCACTAGGGGGCTAGCAGGAAGGGAGCACCGAGCCCCGGTCTCAACGTGGACGTGCAAAGACATGGCTTGGTGGTCGTTAAGTAGCCACCCAGAGAAGTTGCTGGCACGCAGCCTCTTGGCCTTGGGTGTGCAGTACTATCAACCAGGGAGCCTCGAAAGAGACCCCAATGCCCAGACCTCACCCGTGCGATTCACAAAACGTGCTCTTGGGGCTGAGAAGGACTGACACCGTAGCTCTCAACAAACAAGAGCCACTTTCTATTATTCCATGTTAATTTACAGCCAGCATAATTACCACTTTAATGGTCACGTACAATTAATCCCATCATGTTTACAGACCCTCATTCATTCACTAAGCTACTCTCAGAAATGTAGATCACTTCCGATTTTTAACAACAACCACCACACAAAATGACATACTGTAGCTCTTCCAATTTACAATATATTTTGCCTTTGCGGAATATTTGCTTAAGCTCAATTCCTAGGGACTCCTGGGTAGGAAGAGCATTGCAGCCAGAGACGGCAGAGCTGGGAAGCCACGGGGTCACATCTCAGAGCCCTGCATTCTGCGGGGAGGAAACCCAGGGCAGCTAAGTGGTCAGACCCAGGACTGCTTTACTTGCCTTTCTCCTGCCTCTTTAAAAAGTCCTCTGTAGACTGGACGGAAGGCAAACAGGCAGGCAGAGGGTCTGGCTGTAGCTGCTGAGGGAGAGAGAGGAGAGAAAGGGAGAGGAAGCTGTTCTTCGCCTAGCAGAGAGCAGCAGCGTGCATGGAGTCCAGATGTGACCTGCAGACAGCCAGGACCAAACCCCGGGGACATCCCAGCTGGCAAACCCTGAAGGTTCAGATGAACTTGAGTGGGTTGGCCCTGTGGGTGTACGGTGTCAGCAAGCACATCTGAGGCGGGGCGGGGGGGGGTCGTGGTCCGCCACCTTGCAGGCAGCCCCGCTCCATGAGATCCCTCCGGACAGGAGATCAAAAACAAACGTTGGATCCCTTCTGGGAACAAATGGGCCCTGTTTCATCCCCTCCTGCCTCCCACCTGGGGCGCGACTCTGGGTGCTCAGAGGGTCTAGACACCTGACGATCTGAGGCGCAGAGCTGTTTGAAAGCAGATGGCCGGAGATCAGAGAGCTGCTTTGAGTCCTTCGCGGGAAATCCTCCTACTTGAAAGCTCTCTTAGATGTTCTCTTCCCTTCTACTCAGCAGAGGGCCCAACGTCTCTGGGATCCGGCAGAGGAAGATGAACGGGCTGGAAGCGCAGCCTGCAAACGTCTTTGCATAAAGGAAAATAACCCTCCACCGGGCCCCACACACAGGAAGTCTGGAAACAGGTCAGGCCTGACCTGGGAGAGCTCGCCTCCATCCTGTACCTCTTGGGGACCCCCTGCTGGATCGTGGGCTGGTCCTGTTGCCCAGGACCGCCCCCCCCCAACACCAGCTTCCTGGGCGCTCCTGGCCATATTTCTCCAGGTTCCTTCCCTCAAGGATGTTCTGTACATTTGACTCAGACGTTAAATGACAAATGCCATCGTCCTAGTGCTCTGTTGAGGTGAGGTTGCTTTACATGTGTTTAAACATAGTACAGTCTCCAATCTTCCTTTCTTCCAGCCTTTTTTTCCCAGTTAGAAGTTTCACTTCCTTCTACTTTAGAAATCAGGTCTCCTCAAGAGCTGAAGTAAATTGTGGCAGATCCAGAATTTTCCTGCTTGTCTTACGACAAGACAAGAGCCTGAGCCTCTGCAGGAGGCTTCCGGAATTATGGAGCCACAGACAGGAAGGGGAAGTACACAGCTGTCCTCAGCCTCACTGCCACCCCTCCACACCTGCTCCCTTACAGAGGGGCCACAAGGACTATGGGGTCCAAAGCCCTCACAGTATGGTCTGAGAGGTGGGGGCAGGGTGAACGTGGACTCTTCAGGACTCAACCCAGGGCTCCCCTAAACCTAGACGTGGCTTCTGAGACACCCAGAGGGATTGCAGGGTCCTCCTAGTCAAGATGCTTTGATGGTGCTCTGTGTTCTCTTTATTTGGTGGTGAATGCAGCCTTGGAAGCAACAGCGGAGGCAGGGGGCGACCCCTGAGCATTACGTACAAGATCCGAGACACTAAGATTAGAAGATTTTATCCATGGGGGTGGCGAGAAGCAGAGAGGACCCAGAGGGTAGAGCTGGGGGAGAGGACCGACTTGAAGAAACTGAAAAAACACTGACATCATTCATCTAGAAGGTGAAACTAAATATAGATACAATTAACAAGCAGACTTGATCATTTTATAAGTGATGGATGGAGCAGAAGAGAACGGAAGAGAAACCAAAGAAAGAAGTAGGATTCGGTACTGTGCAAAGCCTGGCAGCGACCGTCTTCCGTATGTGTGTGAGTGACATGTCACTCGGTGGGGGGTGGGGAGACAGGAGGGGAGTGGAAACTCAGCCCTGCTGATGGAGCACATGTGGTCCTTGTCTTAGGCGTCAAGCGGGCGGACAGGTGAGCTGGGGTACCGGTTCTCAGTGATGCAGGGCGAGAGCGCCCCGTGGCTGTAGGCATGGCTCTCCATGGGGGGCCGCAACCCTTCAGCCCAATGGGAAGAAGAAGAGGGCTTTTCCCTCCAAAATAAAGTTACAGTAAACCCCTGACCAACCAGAGCGATGGTTTCCTGTAGCTCTGTGGCTCCCCTCGCTCAGATCCTCCCCCCGCCCCCCATGCACACACCAGAAAGGACAATCTGGGTTTCATCTCCTGCAGCAGTATGTAAAACAGATTAGGGAAACAGAAACTTGAAGCCGGCTCACACTGGGAAAAGCTTATCTCTTCCCATTATACTTTATTTTTTTTAATAGTAGCATTTAAAAAGAGCCTCCACATCATCTTCCACCGAGGACACATCTGAAGCCTCCGAGGGGACCACTACACGGGTACTGCCTTGAAATGTCAACCGAGAGACAGTAGCACTCCAGGTCTGCCGTGTGACGGGCGTGGTTCATTCCGGGATAAAGACAGGGTCCCAGAACTGATGGCAGTCTTATCACATCTTTTGGAGTAATTTTAAAATTGTGGTCTTATATTAAATACATTAAATCAAATTATGAGTTAATGCTGCAAACAATAGCTTGCTTATTAATTTTTAATACAAATATATTAAGCTTATCAAGGATCTCATATACTCTCTACCCTGAGCCTGAGGGAATCCAATAAATGACTTCCCCAAGCATGATTTAAATATGGATATAAAATCAGAGGGAAAAGAAATGGATGCCTGATAAGAACCTCTGGAATCACACTGCAAGAGGGAAAAAAGGCAAGTTTTCTTACTCTGCACATCTCAGGTTGAAAGCTGAGCGG